CATAAGATGATATATTTGAAATTTGATTATGATCTAGTTTTGAGAGACGTTTCTTCAAAAGAAAGTTTTGGAAAACACGACTTATTCCGATTTTTGACGTTTTAATGACGTTTTAAAACGTCCCCCGTCCCCAAAGGGTTAAAACCAGTTTTTCATAGTTTTCTCGAGTACACTGAAATGTGATAGTTGATATATATTCGAAATCAGTACGAAATTTCCTATCGAATAGTGTGTAGTGTAAACTCTAACGTGATTTCCTGACTGTTTTCTCAGCATATTTCTCCAAAGCAAATGTATGACCAACCCGCTCTTTTATGATAAAAATTTGCTTCCGGCAAAACAACTAAATTTATACAAAAGCAACAGCAATTGTTTTTCAACGCAATTGTTTTCCTTAACGCATCTCTGATGGCAAAAACAGCCGCTGAAAGGGCGAGAGCCTATCGTGATCCAGTCTAAGGCCAATCACGAAGAAGTGAAGACAAAGGTGCGCAATCGTAATAATTCCACGAGTGAAAAATTAAGTAACAAAGCCTTACAGATTTTCATGGAATATAATACAGATCAGGTATACAATATAATACAGATCATAAAAACCTTGAAGAATCCTGTGAAGAATGCCAAGAAACTTGGTCTGCCTTTCTAATCGCTACTACTCCAAGATAAACATACTATAAATCCATGTCGTTTAGAAAAAACAGCAAGTTTCCTAACGGACTCGCTGAGAAGGCGCTGCATTCGAGACGTAATATTCTCTCTTGTATCAATGTGCATAAAAAACAGTTTGGCGTATTTAAATATTTTTCAGCTACCCTTGAAACTTTTGCACTCAAAAAATTGCCAAAGATACCACCGTGAAGTAAAGGTTAAATGTCACATGAAAAAAAAAGGAAATTGTAAGTAAACTACTAGTGTATATAAACGATCATGTCTTTTCCTTTGCATAAACTTCTTTTTTTTCTCTCCTTTCCTTGTGCGTGTGAGTATATGAACTGGATGTGTTATGTTTGAAAGGAAAGATATGTACTGCTATGAAAAATGAAAATTTGTACCAAATTATTTATTTCTTTATTCGTTTATTATTTTTCGTGTGTTTTTTTCTCAATCATTTCTTAAATTCTGTGTAAATGTGTAATATTTGACTTTATTAGTTGTTAACCCTTAATAGGAATGTGACAAAAACTTTTCTTCAAAGTTTATTTTATTCTTGAATGCTGCTCAGCATAACGCATGCAGATAAAACCAAACACAAAGAAAAAAAACATCAAATAAAAGCGAGGACCACTTTGTCCTTCTTCTTTCTGATTTTTCTACCTGCCATCCATAACACACCACATATATATCCATTTCTAATGTGTGAGTGTAGGAAGTGACGTAAGAACTGCTAAATGAATATGAGAAATATGATGTAGAATCGTTCTCTAACAGATGAAGTAACCAGTGATGAGATACATGATTATGAGGAGTATGACGTAGAATCGTTCTCCTACGGGTGACATTAGCGATGATGAGATAAATGAATATGAGAGACGAGGATGAGAAGGATAGAAGTCTTGGGCAGAATAGCGGACATCCGTTTCAGGGAACAATAAACTACGTATCAGAAAAAATTCTTCTTGAGTTGTAAAGACTTTATGAGCACTACTAATGTGCCCTTTGTGTGACAATAATGCTCAAAGAAACATTGAAAATCAAACGACCGACCAAATACAAGTATTGAAATCAAAACATAAACATCATCTGTTTCATGTATATGTGAAATGTCAACAGGCCCGATAGTTTGAAAAAATTAAATCTGAGGTAGCCAATGAGAAAACACTTCTACAAGTAGATTTCGCTAACATCTTTGGAATGAAGGAACAGGATAAAATGCAAAGGGCGGACTGCCACACAAAACTTATATCTACATTCACAGCTTGCATTTGGGCCAAAACGGCCGAATTTTCGTTCGCATTACCATCGAATGATTTGACACATGACAAGTTTGTGGTCAATGCGGCCACTGAAAAGATATTAAACGAACTGAAATTGTCTTTACCAAATTTGAACAGTGTTGTTGTATTTTTAGACGGTGCCGCTTCTCAATTCAAACAAAAGTATGTGTTCAAAAATTTAATTTAATTATCAGAAGATTATCAAGTTAATTTAGAATGATGTTTCTTTGCAACATCACATGGTGAGGGGGTTGTCAACGGGATTGGAGGCACAGTTAAGCAATTGGTTTGATCTGCCGGTTCGGCAGGTGAAGCCTGTTGTTCAGCAACAGACACTTTAAGAATAGCGAAAACAAAAACGAAGAAAATTATTCTGAATGAAATCATCACAACGTCCATTGATCAATCAAAATTAAAATTGGAAAGTATTTTTCAGGAAACCAAACCTATTCCTGAAACGTTAAAAACGCATTCAATTTTACTTCTTTGTTTCTTCTGTTTTTTATGGATGTTGTTTATTTTAAATGCATGCATGAGTGCGTGAGAATGTTTTCATGTTTTCACGCCGATAAAAGGCGAAAAAACGTTGTTCCCCTGGTCAGAGACTTTGATTTAGGCCAAAAAACAGCAACAACAACACAAGAAAAAAAATTACAAATAGAAAAAACTTCGAAAAAATACAGAAAAGAACCATCTCATGAAGGCGGGGTCTTCGTCCCGGGTTGGATAAACGCTAGCACCTGAGGTTTGAAAATGTTAGCGGTTAAGAACCTCCAATTAAAAACGACCGGCCAAGAAAAACTATTTTCATAACTGAAAAGCCAACTGGAAGAAGGAAGAATACCTCACCTTGCGGTATAGGGTGCTGTCCGGAGACAGTTTCGTACGCCCGATATCTTCCCTACAACTAATATTAGCTGTAGCTCTGGACAGAACGCCAGCCTGACTCAGAGTTCTTTGACGCCTCGTGCACACTGACTAATCACATACTAGCTACGAGGCCTGGTGTATGTCACAACGTAGTCAGCATGTTATCGGACAGGTGATCCGAGGCAAACAACCGTTGATGACCTGCCCAGGGTCATTCCGTGTCTGGTGGAGCCGAGGCTTGAAAAGCCAGCTGAAATCTATTAAAGCGTTCAAAAACCTTTTTAAAGCCGTGAACCGATAGCGAACCCACTCATTCTAAACATGTGGTAGAGATATAAAGAAAAGGTGTTGTAGTTGGCCATGCATGAGAAGAGACTAACTATTCCACTTATATGCTCTAAATGTGTCAACATGCAAATGAAAATTCGGCCGTTTTGGCACACATCCTTGCCCGCTTTGCTACGTTCGAAAAATGTTTTTCGTAGAGTTAGCGAGTCTGTCTACGATTTTTTGATTGTCTCTCAAAATTTCATTATTTTCAATTTTCAAACCTCGAAAATATGGCGAATAAGGAGAAAAAGTGTTTTAATGTGCGCCCAAATATGATCTCCTGCTTTGATATGTTTCAACTTATTTTCTCTTTTTGTTTGTAGAAAACTCATCTACTCTTGAAAGAGCACACCTCTCCAATACGAAAAATTATAACTGTTTAAAAAATCTGTGCGTCGAAATTTTCTTTTTCTATCAGCATCTATCAAAGCGTGCAGCTAAAAGCGTAGAAAACAAATCAAAGAAGGAGTCGTGGTCGGAATTATAAACTAACGTATTGCAATACTCGTAAACGGCCTTCAGAAAAAAATAAAAGATATTCCACTGTGTTCTTCGAAAGAATCCATTTTTCTCCTGCGCAATAAGTCGTTAAAATCAAAACCGGAAAATGATCTGAATTGGGCGATTCTTTTGAAAGCGTACCAGAGTTTACATCAACTTTGTCCGAATTGTTCGGGAGTAAGAGGACTAGTATAACTCGGCCTCCTGGTGACGAATATCATGTTTAAAAAATTTTTTAGTGAGACACTTTCATGAGCTGGTACCGTTAGATTAGCTTCTATGTGTGCAGAGCTACAAACTCACTAGCGGAGAAAAACTTCCGAAATGTTGACCACATTCTCAGGAAAATATTTAAAGATATCGTTTTTTCCGAAAAGTAGGCCGTTTTTGTAAACTACTTTTCCCCATAAAATCATATCAACAAGAGGCAACAAGATATGCATTCGACGCGCCTTTTCACGTTCTATCCGGTGAAGTGGTTCGCATTGCGAATAGAAAACGTTTAATGGTAGAATAAAACAACTTTTAAAGCCGATTTTGCTAGTTTTTCAAAGTTTGAGTACGTGCTACACCATTCTACGGGATTGCAGGATGCGGGATGACATATATTTCGCATGTACTCGATGTGGGCTATTAGAAAAACAGGTTTTTTACCATGGGCCAAGAACCTTCGAAACAGACGAAAATTCTGTAGGATTTTCGCTGGAAAAGCATCTGCACATGGAGTACATGCGAAATATATGTCATCCCACGTCCTGCAATCCCGTAGAATGGTGTAGAAATCACTTCAGAGTATAATAAATATGAAAGTCATAAAATGTTCATCGACGATGAGAATAAAATAATCATTATGTATTTCGTCATTCTTATTCTTATTATTGTATTGTTGTTTAGCAAACAACAAAATTTGTCTTCTTGCTCAAATCAGGCGCGCGAATGCTCGTGCGCAAACTGAACAGGATACGTATGAATTCCATGCGGCTTGTCCATGTAACGCGACACTTCGCTGATCAAGTATCTTTTGAATTCTTTTGATCGGAAAACCGATAGAGGCACATCACTATACGCAGCTTTTCATGCTGATCATGGATCTGATCTTTTTTGGAAGAAAAAATTACTTTTTCGAAAGAACTAGAGAAGTCTTTTACTATACCGTCACTGGTTTTTAAACTGTCTGAAACCTGTTGAAATTTAGCAAACGTTGTAATAAATCCCTTCTGTTCTTAAAATATTCTTTATGCTTTAAAAAGCACTGTCTACGCTTTAGTAACTTTCGTGAACTTTTTTAGGTTAAGGAAAACGGCCAATGAATCTTTCTGAGTTTATTATAACGGTTCATGAGTACTAAGGTTTGAAAACATTTTTTTCTCATAGTACCACTTGCTTGAATACAGGACTAATAAGTCTCAAGCTGACATTGTTGATGATTTAAGAAAAGAAAAAATGGTGGCTGTATTACCATATACAGAAAGGTCAATTAGAAGCAATTGTCACTCCCCGTGAGTTAAGCTGCACTGTAGTGCCCTCTCTCGAGCATGGTGTCCCTCTGTGAGCGCCAATGGTGCCCAAACTGCTCAGAACACGAAATACAAAAATTTCTCATTTCGAAGTATGGAAATGGAAGATTCATAGAGGTACTAAAATGCTTGTGTTTTAGTGCTTCGTCTTTATCTGTTTTATGGGCTTCTGAAAATGCTTCTACAATTAGTAGGTCGTTCGGTAATGCACTCAGAATCCAAAAATGTCCCTATGCAGGGAGCAGTACATGAAAATGACATTCATGGTTGATTTCTGTGACCATATTGTGTTATCAACTGACTCACTTCTTAAACTAATCGTCCGATGCACAGACGACCTACTAAAGGAAGCGCTTGATTAAGAAAATATTCACAATGCACTTCGACATTAATTGCAGATAATCATCTCGGATTGTAACCGAACTCCACGGACTTTCAATAATTCGTGTAACCATCGATATTTCTTGTCTCAAACTGTTCGAAATATAGCTTTCGAAGAAGGTTTCTTCTGGTTAAGCTTTCGATTACAATTAATGTAAGATAGTTTTCCTACCATGTTCGATAAAAATGTACGCATATTATTATTTCTCTTTCTGTATTACTCAGTCTGTGAAGAAGAGAGAAATAGAAATAGTAAAGAAAATTTTTTTTCTGTTCAAAACGACATTATCGCGAGACAGACTATTTAAAATAGTCTGTAGAACGAAAATATTCTGTCTTGCGATGATGTCGTGTTGAAATTTTCCGCTTCAGATACCTTCAAAGTTGGAAAACAGCATCGATGTCAATTTATGACAAATATTTACATCAGGCCACTTGAATGCAGTGTACTTTTCATCGTAATTCGGCCAAGAATCATTTGCTTCCAGTGAAAATCTCAGAGAAGCCATAATTACACATGGAGTACCACCTCTGATGGTAAAATCGAAAAACGGTTCTTTCTAAAATCTTTGGTTTTTCGTAGGGGCTCTAGAAAACCTTGTATATCTGACTATGCCATTTTTAAAATTTTAAGGTTACCAGTAGAAAGAGCGACCAAAAGTGTGTCCGTGGTTAAATTTTCAGTATCATCGGACGGTATTTTGAGGCAATATGCATATTGGACTTTTGAGGCATTCACGGGTTTATGGTATTTTCTAACCAAAGAGCCGCTATTGCACTATAACTCGCTCAAAGTGGGAAGTGAGATAATGCATTTTGTAGCCCTTGATGTGCTCTATAAAAGAGTGCACTTATATTGGCAAAACAAGCGCCTGATTGAGCTTCCAGAGCCAAAGCACAGGGTGGACTCTATGATCCAGGCTCCAGATCATGGACATGTGCGGCGAAGATATCCAAAAGCTCTCTAAAATGCTAATGACATAGCCTATTCGACGTAGTTTTTTACGCTTAACACGAATATAGTCTTAGATTTCGACTGTGAGTGGCACTTAGTAGAAAAAAAATGAAAATTGGAGAAGAAAAAGTAAAAAATGACCGTAAAATTGGAATGAAAATTTCAATGCGAGGATTGTTTGGGTGCCACGCCCCCCTGCTGGAAAGCCTCCAAATAGTGCATTTTGTAGAGCTAGCTCTTGGGCAATTTCTGACAAAACTTGACGGATGGTTACATCTTTTGTGATCGGCACGCCCCACTACACTGGTACCCATGAAAGCTGGCTATTCATAGTGAACGATGAAGAGTAGACGAAAAATCTCTTTTTTTTCTTTTAAAACGAATCAACTAGAGATATCAAATATATAGGCGTGTAGCCCGAGATGAGCTCTACCAAAGTGTATATATAAAAAACTTTTTATAGGTCTCGCTGATGAACAGTGTGATCCATATTGAGTAAGCATCTACTAGACTTATATCAAAATCTGAATCATAGCTCTGTAACGGTAAACGGACTCTAGTTCCCAGAAAACTGGGTGAAAACACAGCTTCCTATATACCATTCGACGCGCCTGAACTTGCTCTACAAAAGTACGTATTTGGTTTCTCGATTGGAGTATGGGCATGAAATCCGACAGGGTCCTTTATTGATTCTAAACGGCAGGTTTTGAAAAATCGATTTTTCCACAGAATGTCGTTTATGTAGTAGCAAGTAGCACTCGGAAAAAATTCTATAACTTCCGATTCTCTCGAGTTGTAAGTCACTGTAATACCTCATTTTGTAGAGAATTAAATGCTCAACAACGATGCCGATTTCAAACTGCCTCGACATGCAACCTTCACAAACTACAGATTACGCAAAAACTACTACTTTTCTCGCTCCAAACTTCATTTTTGGCTCTTTCAAACATTGTATAATGGGGAGAAATTTTAGAATAAAAGAGATAGTTTTTGTTTCATTGGGGCTTAACACAACCTTCTTTTTTGGGATGATCACACGGCTTGTGCACCGATGCTCCAGTTTGCCAAACTGACGCTGATCATTTCTTTCCACTTCGCAGTCAAAATTATCGAAAAAATGACGTATTATTTACTACTGGTCGTGAAATCCGACAGGTTCCTTTGAAACATTTTTGTCAGAGAGAAAAAGAAAAGTAGACAGAGCAGTTCAAGGCAGTTTTGTTCAATATCTTCTGTTCTCAATGCTTTATTTACTAATCGAAATATAAAACAATCTTTTGTGTACCATTCAATAGCTTCTTGTGATTTGTAAGTTGTTTAGACTGTTGAATAGAGTCTAATTCTTTTTTATTACCACGATAACAATCACGACATTTGATAATCATTTCGTTTTTGGCGTTAGATAACAATTCCATACATAGTGGAACATCTTTAAATAATTGAAAAAATAAAAATGAACCGGATTCTCGTGTTAAATCTCCAGTAGCCTTTTTCTTTTTGATCATACATGTTAAATGTTGCCAATTGTTTTACAACTAATTTTACTTCACCTTGAATTTGTTCTATTAATTGGCGTTGTTCACTATAGATACCAACTATTTTTGGATAAATATCTAATAATTGTGTATACTTTTCTTTTGTATAACAAATTATAAATATTGAATCGATTTGTTTTAGTTTATATACATTTATCCAGAAACTGGCAGCACTACTACCAGCAAGAATTAAAAATATTTTTCTTTTCATGTGAACGCACATAATCTAAACATATTTATTGATCTTTATAAAATAGAACATAATTATTCACTTCTTGTAATACTGTTTTTGTTAAATTAAGATCATTTTTATCTACTAAATCAAGTTTTTTATCGAAATGGATTAATGTGAAATCTTCTTCATTATTATCAGGATTTAATTGATCGATTGTTGGTAATGAATTAATGGCTAATGCTTGTAGAATACTTGTATTTGTGTTCACATGATGCTGCACTTTCAATATTTTATTGCTCATCTAAATTTATGTACGGTAATTGTCATACTCATCGCTCAAACTGTTAACTCATACCGGATGAAACTGAAATGATGAGGATCAATAATTTCTCAACTCGCAATTGCATATGCGTAAGATTAAAACGCGAGAGTGCGTCATACAGATCAGTTTGACAACATTCTATGCCCAGATCCAGAAAAACTGACAGTAAACGGTCAGTAGAGGTCTGCGGGACCAAACCTTTTTGGTCCCGGTTCCGGTCCCGTGAAAAGAACTCATTTTTGGTTCCGGTGCCGTGGTCCCATAAATATTTTTTCAAAGTCACGCCCGTAGTTTGAAAGCGTGTTGTAATGCGGGGCGTGGGACAGCATGTGTGGATGGTATTAATTGAGAACTTTTATAATTTTATGCGAGTTTTTTCCCGCAGAACTAGCTTCTACATACAAACAAGCACCGAAACTAAGAAAAGGCTATTTTCAAAGAAACCTGGTCCCAGTCCCGTAAAAAAGAGCTTTCTGGGTCCTGGTCCCGTAAAAAGTCCCGCGGCACCAGGATGGGACAGGAATCGTCCCGCAAACCTCTAACGGCCAGTTAACTGATATTTAAAGAACACTCTTGAAGTGAAATGGTTTGAAACGGCGTAAACATGGATAAATAATGATTCCATTTTCTGCTTGTTTTTAAGCAAATAAAAATGCGCTTAGATCGTATGCCGAAAATTACCATGAAAAGCGAGAATCTTTAGCGATAAAAGGGATAGTTTTTGTTTCATTGGGGCTTAACACAACCTTCTTTTTTGGGATGATCATACGGGTCGTGCACCGATGCTCCAGTTTGCCAAACTGACGCTGATCATTTCTTTCCACTTCGCAGTCAAAATTATCGAAAAAATGACGTATTATTTACTGCTGGTCGTTGCTTTTAAACTCTTTGCATCGTGATATAAAACTTCTGAACAGATGTTCCCTTTTTGGTGCCCTAAAGAACTGAGAAGTGGTAAAACTGATAAAACAGAGCCTTGTGACATTTTCTTTGTATTCAAAAGCCAGAAAAAGATACGAAAAGTAAAAACGATTGCAGTTATAGAAAAATTTGGGTTAGTTTTCTCGCAAAGTAACTGACCCGAACCGACAACAATTTGTTAAATAGCCGTTTGATCAAATAACTTGTTCTCAATTAGAAAGCATTGCAGTGCACTTACGTATTTCAACAATTTACCAACTGAAATCATTTACTTTGCATTCTGCTCTAACCAAAGCAATGAACTACAAAAAGATCATATTAAAAACAGTCTTAAACTGTAAATTCATGGAAAGGGGACACCCGCGAACTCGATTTTCAAAACTATTCATTTAGCTCGTCGTTTCAACTATAAAACGTAAATAATTTTCTATCAATAAAATGCGATTTGAATTAGCTGCTGCATTAATATCCACAATACTGAATTTATAGCCTCTAAATCGTAAAAAAGGTAATTACCAAAGCTAAACTTCAGATATGTAGATACTATGAAGGAAAACGAAATGTTGACATGGCTCGTAAATGATTAGGCAGGAAACAGCCAATTGCAAAAGATACTAACACAGAATCAATTCTGATATCACTGTCTTTTAAGCAATATGTGTTTTTTCTCTCTAATACGTATCATCAATCTACGCCTTCTGTTATTCATTTTACTCAAAATGCAACTTTCTTACTTTCTAATCTCCCAGCCTATATGACAATCTTCTAACTACTGGTGACTTTAGCTCTGACTCTTCGATAGTGTACTTGTACAATGTTTGATGTGAACTTAAACAACAAAAGTGAACAAAAACAAACACTCGTATGTGATAAACCTTTTGTATTGGAAGATCAATACATTTTGTTGTAACGCATTTTTTTCTGTTTTTTTGTTGTTATAACCTTTAGTTGTAAAATATAACTAGAGAACAAAACCGAGGCCAGGCACCATTACGATGTTCAAGAAAAAACACTAGAAGGAGAAAACAGAAACCGAGATTTCTCTAAACACGCTAGAAAGTAAAACATAAAAATGTCAGGAATCAACAGGTTTTTTGTTAATTAAGGGAGGTACTCCCTCCTCCACACAAACCTTCAAACTTTGCCAGTTTGTAGAGGACACCTTCAAGGGTATACGTGCGTAATAACTCATGGAGTGGATAAGTTTTGGCGAAGAGGTGAAGTTTTTAAAAATTGAAAAAATCGATTTTCCCAGCTATTTTCCATCTAGTGCAAAAAGTATTCCTTGCGCAGTCGCCCGCGCCAACGAAGCATGTTGAAAAGTTTATACCAATGTAAGAGTTGTTCATTGCATTCATCTCTACGGGCAGACATAATTATTTTTAGTGTTCAGTGCGTAGATGCATAGTTTTGGGTCTTAAACTAGGTCCGAGTGGCAATTCTGTCCGTAGTTTGCGATTTTCTCTACCAGAATTCAACTTCTATGTAACACAAATATCACATTCAGAATCAGGATCAAAAGCTGAGTCGAATGATGTGTATTTCCATCCTATCCGACTACTTTAATTTTTTTCGAATTCTCACGTTGAAAAATTATCGAGATTTTCACCAAAAAATGAAACATACCAACTGAAAACTTCAAAATACACATCATTCGGCTCAGCTTTTGATCCTGATTCTGAATATGATATTTCTGTTACATAGAAATTGAGTTCTGGTAGAGAAAATCGAGAAGTATCAACGAAATATAGACTTCGTGCAAAAAAGACATTAAAAAACAACAACAAAATGTTTCAACAAAACACGTATTTTTTCTTTCTAATTTCGACAATCTCATATAACTACATGGCGTTTTGACATGCATGTCATTCGAAGAGCTTTTTCCGTTTAGCAAGTGAAATATGACCTTTTTAACTTTATTTAGGTGTAGTCAGAACACTAGAGCGAATGAGCCGTGTATTTTGTTCTGAAAAGAGCACATGTTTTCATGCCCTTCTTCACTGAAGAATGAACGTATAGAGCAAAAGTTCCTAATGCAAACGGAAAAGTTCTCAAGTGGAGTAAAATTCATGTAATTCCATTATTTCGTGACAAAATGAAAAGATATTAAAACGCGAAGTTCTTCATAATCACGAAAACCGATCTATAAAAAGATTTTTGAAAAAGCTTCTTTCGTTTATACGTTCTAAACGTTTTAATATAGGCACGTTTATTCCGTTCAGACTGAGAGACTTTTCCTATTATGAACGTTTCTCTTTTTTTATGCCTTAATGCGAATGATCCCATTCAAATATACATGCTGTTTTACAGAATGGAAAAACCACTAGTCCAAGTAGGAAAACGTCAAAATCGATTCAACATATTGCTGGCAATATTCTCTAAATTCTCAAAAATCTATTAATCTAATAAATTTTAAAAACCTCTCCGGAAAATTTCAAACTTATTCTCATCAGACATGCATCGAGTCCGAGTCCTGCTTGAGATACTCGGACTCGATTACTCGATGCTCGACAAACTCGATTGTTCCTTAAATCTATTATCGAAACCAAAGTATAAGACCGATGGCTATTCTTTGAATAACTGTTGAACGAATGTAAATAGTTTTCAATATTCGATAGCCAAGACTTACGAACATGTTTCGTAAGCAGAAAATATTTAGGAATTTTTTCTGAAAAACCTGTTTCAAAAGAATCGAATAACGGAAACCGCGAGTCTTAACCTACATTCGTTACAGTGCTTGCAAGATTTTCAGACTTAAACACCATCGAACTATTCAAGTGAAAATAAACTCATCGGTGAGATATCTTTCAGTCATCAGAGAGCAAAAGATCATGTAAATAATAAAAATATTGATCCAAATGCCATATAATTGTGGGTGTCAACATACTCTCATATTAACACAAAATCAACAATTCAAATTATTAAAAATATAAATAAAAATGATAGCTAGATGGAATTGAGAATCGATGAGTGATAGAAGACACTCTCTACTGCCTATTGAGTTTAGGAAGTGAAAATTATGATGATTGAAAAATATCTCACAGATGACTTTATATAATTTGTTTGGTCTGATGATTTGTGCTGATATGTTATATTTTTATCCACTGTACTTTGTGATCGTTCGCACAGAATGTACATACTGAATAGTTCATTTTCGCTTTGCTAGACTATACGAATTTTTATGTTTGTAAGAAGTAGTTTGTACAGTAACTTTTCCTCATTTTTCTTTTCTTTTGTGACATGCACCCAGGAGAAAAAGAGAGGCTATACACTGCCCACTAATTTCCACTTTACAGACAGTTATCACGCTGTAAACCGACAGTTTCTAAACTATTTCTTTTCTGTGGTAGTGCATAACCGTGGACTACCTGCATTTTTGTTTTTGAAAAAACATGAGCTGTAAATGAGCTGTAAGCAGGTGGTCAAATCAGTAGAACTGACCGACAATGCTCTTTCCATCCGTTTTATCTTTAGTTCAAAAAGAAACTTAATCTGCCTGAGTTTTTCGAAAATGTCTTGTGGATTTTTCGATACGTCTAGTTTCGAATGCTATAAGGGAACTCCTTCACGTTGTATTCTGAAAGAATAAAACTTATATCAGTTGTATGAACGCTGTCTCTGAGTACACGCAAACACATCCTAAATAGAGAAAAGGATGAAAGAAATGTGTGAATGTCTTTTTTGCACGAAGTCTATATTTCGTAGTCAAATATGAAATTTGTGCTTTTTGTACAAAGATAAAATATTTCACGTGGGTTTTTGTCATCAATTTTCTAGTTTGGATGATATTGACGAATCTTTGTTATGGCTAGTTCGATCGACTTATCTAATGGCACATTAGTAAAAAGAGACGATACATCCAATGAGATCATAATTCCAGTTTATAAAACTAATTGAGTTAGAGTACAGATGATTAAAACGATAGATTATCATATTTTCATAGAATTATTCATATAACAGGAGAACACTTATTATGAAATTACTTTAATTACGTCAGCTTTACAACCTAAAGTAAAATTAACTAGAATTGACTTAACTGTGGTTTTTACGTCCGTCTG